TCACAGCCCAAGCTCAATCCACTGAGCTACGCCAGCCAGGGCTAAACAATATTTATTTCTGCACTTCACCCAGCCACAGTGAAGAGCAGGGTGATCCACCTTATTTAGTACCCCCTCCAGGTTTCCCACACCAGCCTCCTGAGGGGAGGGGCCCAAGAACCAGTATTACTAACAAGAGCCTCACGTGATTCTTATTATCAGACGTGTTTGGGAAACTCTGGATTAGATGAGCCCTAAAGTCTTTCCTTCTCAGATTTGGCACTTCTGATAAAAATTAAATTACTAGAAATGGCATCCATACTGCAGTACTCAGAAATTAAGTTATGTTCATATATATCTTAAAAGAGGACAATGAATGAACCAAAACTATTTACACTTTTGTCTCCCCCACTAAAAGGTGCTGTGCATAAGGCTCATGATTTAGTACCACTAAACAACACACTGCCTGGCACAAAATATTTGCTTCATGAGTTTTGAATAAATGACTCTGTCAATTGCAGCAACTAGCTGCCAATCTTACCCACGTAGTCTTCCCTTGTTCTAGCTCCTTGATGCCAAAAAGCAGCACCCAGTGCCCTAAGAACACTATTGGCAAAGCAAAATTAGAATAAGAACTAGTGATTCTATATTCAAAACTCAGCACTTATTGTTTGACTGGCTGAATGATCAAGACAGTACTATTTAGTACTTGATATCAACTATACTTGAATATGGAGAACTTGTGTGAGATGGGGAAAAGAAGAATTCACACCACCCAGGACAAATTTTCAAGACAAACAGAAATATTGTCCTGTGTCTGTGACACGGACTATTAAAGAACTTCTGTAATAATTGGAGTGAGTCTATTTTCCTGGTGCACAAAATCCCTTAGAGCCCTTTGTGGAACAAAAGCAAAATAAATGGATGGCGAATGCATTAACCAATTTAATTCTCTTTTTGCATAGTTAGAAAAAAAGGACATGTAAGAAAAAAACACTTCTAAGTCAAATGATTAGGTTATTTCTCACCAGTGGAATAGTTATGGTGCCATAAGATACAGACTAAGAGCAGAGTAATATATTCGTGTTTGTGGCCAAACATTTTCCAAGTGCATTTCAGGTCTCTAATCATGATTTGTACTTACTGGCAGTAAACAGAAAAGATTCCCACCCACCTGGCCCATTTGCTATGACTGTCCTCAATTAAGATTTCATTCATAAAAACTTCCCAAACAGAACTGATTAAGACCTCTGTCTAATGCTGCTCTCACCAGAGTAAATGTATTTATAAGAAAGTACACAAGGAAATTTTGAGGACTCTACAGTCAAGAGCTTCACTCAGTATTGTCTCATTTATCTCCCACTTTTTCCCTTCTCCTAACTACACAATTATTCTCCTGGCCAGAACTCCCTCATTGACACAGCAGCCTCCAAGGATACTTTCATATTATAAAGTCAATATTCTTGAGGACAGGGTAAGCTGAATTCAACTGCGAGATATTACCAGTAGTGAGTTTGTGTCAGCTATATGTGAAACTCACCAAGGCATTTGGTATTATTTTCCTTTTTTTAAAAGAGTCCTATATATTTGACCATGTTATATCTTACAATAGATTCACCTATAAGAACTCCTATTTTTTTTTCTAAAATGCTACAAGTTGTTATAGTCTTCAGTAGGAGAAGCTGAACTATGTATCGTAGTCCCTCCTTCTCTGTACGCACCTTGATGCATCGGCTCACATTCACTCTCTACACATCCAACCATCTACCCTGGGTGGACAATATGACTCATATTAACTCTCAAATCTCCTTTAATTGTGTCTGTTTCTTCTCCCTCCGGAGGAGTTAGCTGCATGCACTCATCTGTTTTCCTTCTCTTGTACCTCACAAAGTTCAGTAAACATTGCTTCTGACCATCTGTTCCTTACATATATACAGTGTTTCCATAGCTTTGTTGCCCAATGTACTTTACCTCTTAAGCAGTTAACATTAATAACAAAAAATCTCACCCTACCCTCTGTTTCACACATAAGATGAGAAAACCAAGAGTGATATCACCTTTACACAGACCTCTCCAAAAATAATACTTTTAGAATGAAATTAGATGCAATACAAACCTACCTGAGAAATTCTCTAAAGTGCCCATAGCTCCCACTAAAAAATCACCATAAAATCTCTTACCTGTTTAACTTTCTGCCATTTGATCCACTTTTCCTTAAGCATGTACAATTTAAAAATATTTATTACATTGCATTGATTACATTACATCTTTTTCAGCTAACTTTATCAAAATATTTCTGCATTCACTCATTGCAGCGTAGTTACCTTTAAACAGGCCTTGAAGCCCTGGCTGGTGTAGCTCAGTGGATTGAGCGTGGGCTGGGAACCAAAGTGTCCCAGGTTCGATTCCCAGCCAGGGTGCATTCCTGGGTTGCAGGCCAGAACCCCCAGCAACCGCACATTGATGTTTCTCTCTCTCTCTCTCGCTCTCTCTCTCTCTCTCTCTCGCCCTCTCTCTCTCTCTCTCTCTCCCCCTCCCTTCCCTCTCTAAAAATTAAAAAAATTAAAAAAATAATAATAATAAAAATAAAATAAATAAACAGGCCTTGATGAGCTAAACAGCAAATCTAAGCACTTGTAGTGTTCTGATGGGACTACGTGTTTCTCAGTAAACAAGTGGGTCCAGGTCTACACGTTAGAAACATGATACCTAAAGACCATAGAGACGCTGAAATTCTCTGCTTGCACTATTCATAAGTTGTGTAAATTGAGTTCCATTATAATTTGGATTCAAATTTTTCCTGTGTAGCTTCATCTCTCAGGAGCCTCGATGACATCTGCACTTTGTGTCCGTTTCAAGATTACATATCCAGGTAGAAATGCCTTTTCAGATGTCTCATTTGCACAGAGCTGTGGTCACTGCTATAAATTCTATTTTCCCATGATTCAGTTTGCCCTGTCACTCTCCGATGACGTGAAGGTGGGAGGTGACAAACTGTGGGAGGGGTGTGTGTGTGTCTGCACGTGTCTTTGCATGTGTGTATGTGCATGTTGAGGGGGTAGAGAAAAAAGGGACAGGGGACATTTGTTTAGATGTATAAACAGTCTAGTTTCTGGCCTTGGGAACTGCAGGCAAGCCCCTGTATAAATTCTAAATAATAACTTCTGGAAATGGGGGAAGTGCTCCGCCACTTCTGTACTTAGCCAATGTGTTCCTATTACTTTTAGTATGTTTTTTAATGATTCCAACACATTCTACCACAAGGGAAAAAAAAGTTCGACTGTGGTGGTTCTAAATTAAATGCCTGTGTTAAATTATGCAATTTTGAAACATTAAATTTATATATAAATGAATATATATAATATGTATTTAAAGTGCAATACATACATAGATAAAATGCTAACATGGGTTTAAGTTCATCTCAGTAGAAAGGATAAGAAGACTAGGCTATACCTGATGAGCAGAGCAGCTCACGCAGGGCAATGTACAAGCGCCGGCTGGGGAGCTGGCGGGGGAAGGAACAGGCACAGCAGGTTAGACCAGAAGTTACCAAAGCCTAGTCCCCAGGCAGCCGCAGCCCTGCAAAAATCTCAATTATTGGGCCCCAGTCCAGACCTACTGAGTCAAACACTATGAGCATGGGGTTTTTTGGTTTTTAGAGAGAAAGGTGAAGGGGGGAAGAAAGAAAAGATGACAAACAATGATCAGCAAGAAAGAAACATCAATCAGTTGCCTTCCATTCATGCCCTGACTGGGGACTGAACCTGCAACCCAGGCATATCCCCTGCCCAACTAGCAACCTTTCTGTTTGCTGGCCGATGCCCAACCAACTGAGTCACACCAGTCAGGGTCATGGGCTTGTTTCGAACAACCCCTCCCAATGATACTGATGCGTGGTAAAGTTTGGGAGCCTCTGGGACACGTGGATACAGAGATAAGAGGCTAAGGTTACCCTTTATCTGCTTATCCAGATGACAATGCTAATTATAAACCATACCTATAATGGAAGACTGTGGAAGAGAGCTCTGCCATGTCATCTAGAATCAACAACCACAGTTCTACTCCCCAATAATTTCCAGTTCCAAATTCAACATGCAAGCTGCGGGCCTCCTGGGGGTGTGGGGGGAGACTCATGAGGCCATGATCTTTCAGAACAGCTAACCTGGGTGTGGCACTCTGCAGAGGGAAATTCTTGGCAAAGATTTCCCTTTATAAACTCTAAATATAATATTACATTAGCTTCAATCTTGGAAGTTGGATAACTCAAGGATATCAAGATGCTGAAACAGTGTTTTAAATAATACATAGAAATGAATGCTCCTAGAGTAATCCGAACAGAAAATTCTTTTTAAATTCGTTCATGCTAAGCATGTGGTTTCTGAACCTGCTCCGTCATTCTGAAGACTTGGTCTGTGCTTGTTCCAAAAGTGACACCCTGTTCCTGTAGGAATGGGTGTTGGCAGTGCTGGTCACAACATTACATGAGCCACACAGTACACTGGATTGGGAGGAAGCAGGTGCTGAGATTATAATTAAGTACGCACAGAGGAAACAGGAGTGACAGCAGAGAAGGGTGGGGAGGAAAACTATCCTTCCTGTGTGTCAAGAGATGGAGGAGGAGCGATTCCACATGCTGACTTCCAAAGTCCACAGAACAATTTAAGAGCATACAGACACTTACTGGGTCAGCAAGACCATGGGTGTGAATTAGATGCCCACCCTCATCTGGAATAAACATTTATAGCTTCATAAAATTCAACCCAAATGTCACATGAGACTTGGAAGAATGAAAGCCCAGTGCTCAGATAACAACGTGAATGAAGTTAGTTGCCTGAAAAGCCAGCTGGTTTACATAATAGAGGCCTGGCTCCAGAATAAATATTCAAAATTCATTCCATCAACCAATCTACATCAGAAAACACAGAAAGTCCTTTCATGACTTAAATTTTTGGTTTGAAGCAACACAAAGCAACATCTTTCATACACAGTCTGTTAAAGGTTTAAAAAGCAATGAGACTGACCGGGCTGCACTGGTGAGCTCATCACGGGAGTCAGTCGGACTGATGGGTGGGATGCGGGTTCACAGCCTTCCTTCAGCTGGCAACGTCGGTCCCCAGGGGCCTGGTGGAGGAGAAACCTAGAATGCAAGAGAAAGGCACGTGGATGATACACATTATGTCAAACCACGAAGGAAAAGAGACAGAGAGTCTCCGCTCAGCCACAGCTCAACCGTGGGTCTTTGAAAAAGTCACATCAACTTCCCAAGTGTCTGCAATCTTCATCAATAATGATCTATATCAATATATGTTATTATAGATATATATAGGTACTACATATAGATATACAATTAATATAATTTATGCATCTGTTATCTGAATTTTATCTATAAAGAAGCAAATTTATCAGTCATGCTAAAAACACAGAAATATTGTGAACACCAAAATAAAATCTGTGAATGGGAAACCACTTCATATAGTTATAATTAGTTCCCTATTAACTAGTCACTATAAGTTGTTGTTGTTTGTTATCATTATTTTAGAAATTTAAAATAGTTTGTGGAATTTTGGATGTAAGTATCTCATTCCGTAGTATTTTTATCATTGTCAAAGATTTCCATCTAGAGATAAGACATCTTGAGGAAGGAATTTTAATGGACTTAAAAAAAGGGATAAATAAACCATAAAATATAAGAGCGGCAGGAAACTCCCCTTACAATTTCCATTTCTTCTTGAAGACTTTTGCAATCTTGTTCCAGCCAAAAGCAGTAACAGCTATAGTCTTTCTAGGAGTGGCACAGGATGGGCTTCTTGGAAGGAATTTAAGGGGCTTTCTGATTTTAACTCGGACACACTCTCACCGCTCGACACTGCAGCAAAGGAAGAGCAACTGGAAGGGCAGTTTCCTCACAGTTTACTGGAATTTGTCAAAGTTTAAGAAAGAGGAAAAAAAAGGAGCTTTTAATGTTGCTCTTAATGAGTTTCTTGCAAAAATAGTATGGCCCTATTGCACTATTTTTATACACAGAATGCTGTAACCCTGAGAATGAGGCATCTCTTTACCTTGAGAATCCAATGTATTTATTGTGATTCATTTTCCCAGCCATATTTTGAAAGTGTTATTACTATTTTTTTGCCCAAATGTATAAAGCAGTATATAAATATGTATTTCTTTTGAAGAACTATGGAAGCTCACCAAGAATACCTATAATACTTTAAATGGTCTCTCAATAGAAATATGCTCATTATTAGAACAGTTAAATAGTCATTAACTGCAGCAGGCTACTTCTCATGGCCTCTTTAATGCAGGATATAGTTTAAGACTTAGTAACAATAAACTGTATATTTTTATAAATCTTCAAAATTATACGATGTGCGTATTTTATTAACATTATTTAAAGAATCTTAATTTCCATGTTGATGAAAAAGCAATATTTCTTTAAAAACTGAAAAAGGAAGAACAGAAAACTTTTTATTTCTGTATCAGCAAACAGACATTCTGATTCTGACTTGTAAATAAAAAAAGTCAATATCATATTTTAAAGAAGAAATCATTTGCATAGTTTTAAACAGTTACAAAGTACTTTTAGAAAGACCATACTGATGTCACTTTTATTTTTTTTTAATATTTTATTTATCTTTAGACAGAGGGGAAGGGAGGGAGAAAGAAAGGGAGCAAAACATCAATGTCTGGTTGCCTCTCACATGCCCCCCACCAGGGAACCTGGCTTGCAGTCCAGGTATGTGCCCCAACTGGGAGTTGAACTGTCGACCCTTTGGTTCACAGGTCAGTGCTCTGAGCCACACCACTGAGCCACGCCAGCCAGGGCTGATGTCATTTTTACATCAACCATGCTAACAGATACTTGTCACTCTCCCCACACCTTCTTCTGAGGTGAGAAAAATAGGTGAGATGTCATCTGCTTCATAATTAAAAGGTAATGAAACAAAATCAAAATTAAAACTTGAGTTAGATTTAAATGTATAGGGCATCTAAAATTAATGAGTGTGGACTTTGATATTTTTGGCACTTTTACCTTTTTTACATTGCAGTCTGGAACATCCTAAATGCTCTTGCTGCACTCTGGATTCTCAGTGGTTTGATTTTCAATTAAGAATAACAAAAAGCAAGGGACTTAAGAGAATGGAAGGAAAGGAACACTAAAAGATGCCTTCCATCAGAGGCACAGTTCTCAGTGTTTAAACAAAACAAAAAAAAGTTAATCTATAATGTCACTTTGTACAATTGATGCTTGTATATTTCCAAATGCAACTCAGTTTAACCAATAATATCCAATAGTTAAGAGTAGTAATACCAAGGTGAAGTTTTGCTCCTTGTCCCAAAATCTAAAATTAGAAAAGACGTTTCTATTTTCACCACCTCTGCCTCTCATTTCCACAAACATAAATAATGCCAGTCCAGGACATGCTGATTTATGGCTGGTGACATCATTGTTGGGTTTTGCCTTCACAGCCCTAGATTTGAGTTGCAGTTAATCTCAAATGGAAATGCAAATTCTACTTCTAAAATATCATCATTCAATGCCTTTTTAAAAGTTAAACTACTCTCCTTGCCATTCAATCTTTTTAATAACTTCCTAATCATGACATATTCCTCTACTATTAGGAAAGCCTTGTTACCTGGACAACTATAAAGAGAATTAATATGCACTTCTATGTTGATAGGTACTAGTCTCCAGTTATTGTATCTTCATTCATAATGAGCCACAATGAATCAAAGTGTCACAGCTATAATTGCATAACTGGAATATGTTTTTTTTTCTTAAAGACTTTATTTATTTATTTTTAGAGAGGGGAAGGGAGGGAGAAAGCGGGGGAGAAAAACATCAATGTGTGGTTCCCTCTCATGTGCCCCCTACTGGGGACCTGGCCCACAACCCAGGCATGTGCCCTGACTGGGAATCAAATACGTGACCCTTTAGTATTCACAGGCCGGCACTCAATACACTGAGCCATACCAGCCAGGGCTAGAATATGATTCTTTAAGGAGCTCTCCTAACAAGTTTCAGAGGTACTGATCCTTTAAACATACATCATGCACAATGTGTGTGTCTGTGTGTGTGTGGGGTGGGGGGAGAGGGAGAGAGAGAATGAATCATCAGTTACCTACCTAAGCTTCCCTTTTCCCCTTTCCTGGTGGCTAACAAGTCAACAGATTAGCAGTTCCTATTCACACCTTTTAGGGACAACATTGATATGAAATTTTACAAATGAAGCCCTTTTTAACTCTTGGAAAAGAAAGACGGGTCAGTGGGGAACATCCATCAACAAGAATGACCAACTTATTCTTAAATCTTCCCATACTTCTTTATCCAAATGGGCTTCAGAGAAACACTATTTTCTGAGAATGGGGACATTCCCCCCTAGTATGTAAGTCATCCTTACAATGAGCCTAAACTAGAAATAATAGGAAACTAGCCTTCAACTGGGTAGATAAATTTAGAAAATGGGAAAAAAGTACTGTTTATTGAGAGTACAGGTGATCAAAGCAGATATAGGAATATATCTGGTTTCAATTAATTTGCATATTAATTGCCTATGCTGTAAAAATATGTGCACACTTAAGGACGTAGAGAAGAACAGCAAAAGGAAAACTGTTGCTATGAATCTTTTACTTAAAGAGATACAAGAATTGTTATTTTGGTTCTTGACTATACCTGAGCTACCTGAATCCACAATTAGAAGCTAAGAATCTTTGTTTTCAAATGACTATCTCTGACTACAAGTTAGTCTGCTGCCTGCAAGCAAGTTACTGCTTCAATATCCTGGGATATACAGTACAAGTAACAACTCCAGGAGTGACATCCTGCAATGTCTTAGCTTGCTGATGCAGCCAGCCCACACTGCTCTCATTATCACCATGGTTGTGATTCCGTGGGTCCTCCACGCACTCCACCTACATGGACTGTTCCATAGTAATGAATGGCAAAGCAGCAGAGCTTTACAAATGACAAAACTTGCCCAAGGATTTTCTCCTCCAGTCATCAAACGGCCCTTCGGAGTATACTGAATAAGCCATTATTATTCCCATTTTACAGATGAAGAATTAGAGGCTTAGAGAGGCTGAGGATGTGTTCACAAATATGCAGATGGTAAGTGAAGGGCCAGTCCTCTGACTCCTAGCCCAGAGCTCTCCTGCAGAGGACCGCAAGGAATTATGGCCGTTCCAGCACAGCTGCTTCAGTGTCAGGACTGTCTACCTAGTTGTCACAATTTCAATAATGACACATGAAATGCAGGTCTTCTTTACTAAAAGATCTATCTAGCCAATGAATTGACTGAAGTCAGACACAAAAGATCATAAAATAAATAAAAAATCTAAAATAAATGACTGCAAGAATTCTCACAGCATAAGCTTTCAAATCTGACTTAAACATCATGTTCTTACCACAATATTTCTATTGTTTTTTTTAAGTATAGTCTGAGCTTCTTATTATGGTTTTCTTTTTCTTTTTTTCCTTTTGGGCAATTGGTATTATTTTGGACAGTGTGCCCCTAAGAAAGCCGAATGCTTTTGTAGTTTATGTAGCCAGCGAAAACTATGTCTCTAATGTATCCTCCCCAGATTTAGGGCAGTTGTAATGCACAGTTCAGTCTGCAGGCCCTTTTCTTCTCAGATGGAGCCATTATAGCTCCAGTTCCTCTGAAGAGTAGGATTCACAAGCTGACTCAATTCATAGCATCCACTGTAGAGATAGTTTATTAGTGGAATAAGCCTACTGTGCCAGTTCATTGAGTATCAGGGGGTTCTTCGGATCCACAGTCTCTCTCTCATGCCTCAGAATCTAAAATTCTGCCACAATTTCATTTTTAGAGAAAAATACTAGAAAATTGCTCTTGACATTTTATTCAATTCAACAAACTTTTATTGGCTACATCAAAGACACTCCATTATCCGTTACTCCATTATGGAAACCTCAGCTTTTATTTCATTTTCTACTTCTTGCGTTTCACATATATAGTCACCAAAGCCAGTACCCTGATACCTTATTTTTAATTATATTTTATTGATTCTTCTATTACAGTTGTCCTGATTTGCCCCCTTTGCCCCTTCTCCATCCAACATCCTCAGTTCCCTCAGGCAATCCCCGCACCGTAGTTCATGTCCATGGGTCATATT